ATCAAGCCAAATGCCTACAAACCCCAAGCCGCAGAGTTTCAGGTGCTGCGCCTGGCGCTCGACTGAGAGCGTGAGCCGTAGCGTCGTAGGGATCTTTTTCCGGAGGCCTTTTACCCAACGAAATCGAGGTTGAACAGCTATTTGCCAGCCAAAGCTTTCAGTACGCATCTGGATACATATGCGTATATATGCATTTATATGTATATGTATATTATATATATGTTTTATGTATGCAGAGTATACATGCACATGTGCACACACATGTACACATGTATGCACATGTATGCACATGTATGTATATGAAATTCTCCATGGCTTATATGCTTCTACAGGTAGCTGTGACATCGTCATCGTCATGACACTACTACTCCTCCTCCTCCTCCTCCTCCTCCTCCTCCGACTACTACTACTACTACTACTACTACTACAACAACTGCTACTGCTACTGCTACTGGCTACTGCTACTGGCTACTGCTACTACTACTACTACTACTACTACTACTCTTCCGCCTACTCCTACTCCTACTGCTGATGCCGGGGCTCCAGCGGCTCCCGCACAGCTTGGCAGCGACGACGAAGACGACGACTATTACTACCACTATTATTTGTGCCACTCTTCCTGCTTCTCTTCTTACTACTCTTCCTGTTTCTAGTAGTACTCCTCACTAGCGCCACTACCACGACGACCACGACTAATAGTGAAATTGCTAGAGTCATTCGCATAGGCATTTTTTGCCAGCGTTACCGTTGCCATAATTGTTACCATCCCATGAGATGTATTTTAACAGCAGTGGCGACAGTGTGGCGGCGGTGGTGGTGGTAGTAGCAGGGGGTGAAGTTGTGGCAATGGTCAGTAATGGTCATGGTCGTGTCATCACAGAAGCAGCAAGCAGCGGACGCGATTCATTGATGGTGGTAGCATCGCCGGGGGCAATGTAGTTTGTTTTTGTGATTACTGTGTGAATCGTTTCTTCGTGTTTTGAACATGGAAGTTAGTGAACTAGGTTTACTATGATCATCGTCCTTCTCGTTTCAAGATTGCATATTAGTTCTTATAGGTTCAATATCCCTTCAAATACTGGTTATCATCAGGTGCCTCGTTTCCTACCTTTGCTTTCATTTAAACCGTATGGTTTATCTGTGGCTTGGTGTCGTGGCAGAGACTGCAATTCGCGGTGCAATTTGCCATACATGTAGTGTAGTGGCGATTTTTGAAGATGGTTAGAAAGCAGGTGGTTGCGTGGTACCGTGTGGTACTGGTGGGTTTCTTCCACCATATACCGAATTTGCCACCTGTAAGCTATCAAAGACTCGTATCGCTACGTGCGTCAGATGCGTTTCTCGTAAGGTACTACTGGAAGGAGCCGTGGGTGTAGAACTGAGGGCTATGGCTTCTGTTTCCTTTCTCGGCAAGATGTTTGTAGCCGCATGCTGCAGAATGTGTCCTTTGTTACGGTAAATATGCTTCTGCGAGTATGAGTCGAACCCGCTGAAGTGAGTTTAGGGTTTAGGGTTCAGGGTTTAGGGTCCTTGTCAGCAATGTGCCTTTGGTAGCCACTTCCAGGGTGAGAAGCTCCCGGAGCAGCGGTGGAAAAGTTCATGCCGTCCAGTCATCTGCTCGCTCCATGTATGGAAACAGTGTGTACATGTATGTATATATATATATATACACATACACAGTTACATATATATATATAGTTGTATACATATAAAGTTATATAAATAGTTGTATGTATATAAATATAGTTATATATGCAGATATATGATTTGTATATATATATATATATATCATCTCAAATATGTGTATAGATATATATATTCTCATATTATCCACCATCCTCCACATGTTTGGATTTTGCATTGCAAGTAAGCGTACCGCGAGCTGCAGATGGGATGGCAAATGAAGGAGGTTTCACCGTCGAGGTAAGATGCTGCCGCTGCCATGCGGCCAATCAGGAGCTAGCTTTCAAGACCAGAGTGCTTCTCCCCACGCAGAACGGTCTGAGTTTCTTCGTGCTTGCAGGACCTCGGTAGCTGAAGTGCTTGCAAGACCCCTGCGTGGACTGGCGGTCTTTTGATGCTTTTGCGAATCGTCATCCCAGTTGCTGCCCAAAGTGGCTGGCGATCTGAGCCCTGGCCGACCTGTTCTAGACTCCAAGCGGATCATAGGCAAGTTCACATTCCGAAATGGATTGAAGAATTCGGAACATGTACGTTTACAGTTTACAGTGACGCAGTAGCCGCCCTTGTGCTTCGTCTGCCTGGTGCAGCTTCCGTAGAGACACCTCGAAAATCTTCGGCACGCCTAGCGCATGCACATTACGTGCCGGAGCAAAACAGGTTCCATCTTCGACGGACATGCCTGCAGCACGACGAGTGACGAGAGCCCGCGGAAGCCCCGAACCGGACCTGCTTCTTCTCCACAAAGTTTCTCTTGAGGCAGACATGGCAGCTTGAACCTTTTGCGATCCCGGGCTGTATGAAAGACGAAGGCAAACTGTAGTGGTGGTTGAAGTGGTGCTGATGTTCTTCCGCTTCTGGACCTCCTACTGTTGCTGCGAAGAGTGACTAGTACAAATACGTCTCACGCTAGTGATATGAAAGGATAGTGACCGTGCCAATCATACAGATTCCGGTCGCACTTTAAACAGTCTCGTAACTCGGTGATGCTTCTAAGCCACCACGCTTGCAGACAGGGCATGCTGCTCAAGCATGGGTGTGTATGGTTCTAGCGATCTCTGACTCGCTTGTGACAGGGGTAGGCCGCAACGTTCTGGGCAGGGTAGTCTCTGGCATGGCTGCGATATGACTCGAGCCATCTCGGCGCCAACGGTAGTGACAGTGACCAAGATTGGATTCAATTATGGGCAATGCTGCGAGGGTTCTATGTTAGCGGTGCCCTTTTCCGTCCAATCGCGGGGGACGGAAAAACGGAATGACGAATCTACCGAAGGCTTTCTGTCCGTCGATTATGGACAGTCCTAGTCTGTTAACACCAAGAAACTGCCTTCTCAAAGAAACCTTGTCTGCATGCAAATTGCTGTAAAGGTTTGAATCTCGACGCTACATCTTGAACACCCACAGCCCCAGAGCTCAAAACCCAAACCCAAAACCCAGTATGAAGCCATGGCGAAGATTCGGGCAAACTTGCGCTTCGATGGAGGTTTGAGGACGTCAGAAGTGACTGAAGAAATGTGTTTTGTTACCAGCACCGTCGTCAGCATCAGCATCGTCCCCATCATCGTCATAATCATGACCATCATCATCATCATCAGCATAACCATCATTCTATTCGTCATCAAAATCATCAGCAGCATCATCATCACCATCATCATCAGCATAACCATCATTCTATTCGTCATCAAAATCATCATCATCAGCATCATCACCATCATCACCATCCATCATTATCATCATCATCAGCAGCAGCATCAATCTTCATCCTGGGTCCTCATCATGATCATCATCACCACTCTCTTTGTCATCAGCCGTGACTTCCGCATCGTTGCCATCGCCAGCACCATCATATTCAATAGTATCAGCAACACATCGTCAACATCTGCTAATTTGATCGTCATCGCCATCTCCTCCTCCTCATCATCATTGCCACTACCATCACCACCGCCACCCCCACCTCTGCATCACCATCTTCATCAGCATCATCATCAGCAGCATAACAATCATCTTGCTCAGCATCGTCACCATCATACCTATCAGCAGTGCATCGTCAACATTCGAAAATATGATCATCATCGCCAGCATCATCACCATCATCAGCATCATCATCCTCGTCACAAGCATGATCAATCGCATACGTGGGCCGTCGCAGTCACATCATTGCAGGTATCGGCATCACACACACGAGTCCCTTGGCTCTTGGTGTTGTTTGGCTGTTCCGCAGTGCCGAGCTTTGCAGGATTCTGTCGCGTGGCTTGCCGTCTCTCAGCCGGTATCGGCATTTTCTTCCATGCACCCCGGCTTGACGGTTTTAACGCCGCAGTTCCCAAACACCGGCTGCTGATGCCAATGCAAGCCCTAAGCCTGAAACCGCCCTTGTTCGTCATGCTTCGAACCTTCGATGAACGCGCACTTCACTTGGGGCTTCTTCTAACGAAGACTATTTCGTTCCTACGCTGACTGCCAGCACCAGCCGCATCGCAGCCCACAAGTGTAGGTTCAACGACCCCCGTGTTTGCAACATGGGCTTGCCGCTTTTTCTTCACTTCGGCTCCATCACGGCGGGCCCTTGCAGAGAAGCATTGCATGCACGTGCCGGGAAGTAGCTAAAACATTCGAGGACGTAGGATGCCTTGTAGGAAGCATCGGATGCGAGCCTCCAGACACGTCCGCATTGCTGGCAGTGAGGCCGGCCGTACTTCAGAGAGCAGCGGAGGAGCCGGGTGTTCCACTCTTCGACAGCACAACGACGTAGTCAAGTAACTTCCAGGTGCAACAACGATGCTGACGACAGCGCAGACAACACTGACCGGAATGTTGACGAGTCACTACTGCTTCTGCCTTTTGGCTTTGCGGCTGCGACGATGTCGACCGCGACGACGACGACGACGACGACCGTCACCGCCTCCATCCCGACAGCAATGTTGCTGCTTTTGCTGCTACTGCGACCACTGCCTTCCGTACTTCTTGCTACTTGGTCCGTTTGATGCATGCAGTCTTGTCTCATGAACGTCCTTGCTGAACACTGAATGACTGGAGCGCTATGGTGCTTCTGTGTTTTGCTACTGCCGCATGGAGTTGTTGCAGGCGTGGCATTGTGGGACACCGTCCATAATGTTGCGATGGTATTTTTTCCGACGAAGAGGTCGTTGGGCCTTGAGGATATAAGATTCTGAGTATCCTATAGCTGCATTGCTACATGCCCTACTCCGACATCTAGTTGAAGGGATTTCGCATCCCTGATCTTGTACCTCAGAGAGCTCATCAGAATAGCAACAGCAAGAAGTACACAAGCGGTAAGAGCCGTACCATCATAGCAACAGGATGCTTCGGCACATGATGGCCCCTCCTGAGCTGTTGGAGATCGGGTCGCATTGCTGCTACGGAGGGACCGTCTACCGCTTTGAGACTTGGCCTGCGTGTGGTGCGGGGGCGCGCGGTTTCGAGCTCGGGGCTTTAGGGGTTAGATTCTTGCTGTCCTGGGCGGGGGTTTTGAGTTTCTGCGGTTCGAGGTTTCGGGAGGGTTCCGCGGTTGCGAATGTGCTGGCGAAGAGCTGTGGAAGATCAACAACAAGGGCAATAGTACAATGTAATTAGCAAGTTTGAAGAAACGTGAGAGATCTTGTTGACAAGAGGCAAAAGCTAAGCAGGGAATAGGTTCGTCATCGTCATCCTCGTCGTCAGTGTCAGTTCCCAGTCGGAAAAGTGGCGGGGCAACAACTGCGACAACTGAGGCTTTTTCTTGCAGTGAAAAAAGCAGCATCAGAACAATGCTCTTGCTGATGCAGTAGACACGGCACTCTAGAAGTGCCTGCCGTGTTGCGCTTAAATGTCATCTTGCCTATGGGTATTGAGCTTGTTCCTCAAACAGTGTGGTAGCACATTGGGGTTCTTACGTTCCGTATAAGGAGGCATTGGTATCATCGCTTTGGTGTCTTTCCCATATATTTCCACGGTCCCGCTCCTGCCTCGGCCTCCGAGGATGTTTGGTTCATTGTAGATGGGCTTCAGGCTTGGCCTTCGACATCTTCGAACTGTCGGAACGCTCTTCAGCCTCTGGGGCTCTTCCGTCTGGTCCATCATGAGGCTTGTCGGGCTCGTCTGTGTGCTTACCACTTGGAGGCGCTTCCACCCCCCCTCCCCTTCTTCGTTGTGTCCTGTCGTCGTGGTGGTGGCATAATAATTGTCCCCGAGTATCTTGATTTTGGCTACCCTTGTTCTTATTGTGATGCTTGAAACTTCCAACATCCCATTCCATGGCCGTCTCAGGAGCACATCAGCCCAGTGTCTCGGCATGGGTTCGTATAGTGAAGCAGCTGCTGCTTGCTGCTGGTCCTCCCGCCTGGTCTTTTTCGGTCCCTGCAGCTATGCTGTAAAATCCTCACGGTGCCACCAGTCATCGTCATCGAAGGAAGGGGAACAGTCAGAACGTCCGTAGGAATCGTCGTCGAGCTTGTGATCGTTGCATCAACGACCGTCGCACTCTGAAGACTGCAGTAGCACTAGATGTCCAAGATGGAAGTCGTAGTAGAAGACGGAGCAGCAGGAGGAGGAGAAGCAGCTCCGGAAGCAAGAGACGTAAAGCATCCTGAACACGACGCCTCGAGGAGTTGGCGATTCTAGCAGCCACCAAATCCTTTCGCTTCCGGTTTGCACTGCAGGTGCTTTTATGCGCTGCTCTGCTTTTCCTGACATCAAGTCGCCGCCGCCAACGAAGACCTTCATGCCTTAGAGACGAAAATAGGCCCCAGGCCCCTGCAGATCTATGTATGTTGGCTTCCCGAAGCGAGCTGCAAAGGTGCTGGGCTACTGCTCGATGAAGCTTTCGGCCTTCGTGCCGAGCGCTCCACCAACGAAGTGCCTTGACATCACGTGCTGTCGGCTGGCGGAGGCGGAGGCTTTCTGCAGCGTCGGAGGGCTGAGGGTGTTCAGGAGTTTGTGGGGATGTCTCGAGCACAACCAGGACCCGGTGGGATCCCGAGGCATGTCAGAATGGGGCGAAGAGGAGTTGGGGAGGTGGGGTTGCTCACGCGATGAGTTCCACTATCGTTTTGGTCGCAAGTCGCAAGGCTCCGTGTTTCGGATTTCGTTTTTCGATTCCTGTCAAAGAGCTATTCCTTACGTCAACGGGTGGCCTGCCCCAACGTCTGCTAAGAGCAGCTCATCAACGAAGGTGCTGTTCTGCCCAGCTTGCTTTGATCAGGGATAGCGGGGAGTGCTTTCGCACGAACCTGTCCATGAATTACCTCAAGTATGCTGCGCTCAGGTTCCCAGGGGTCAGCACCTTACAGCCTTCCCTGGGCCCTTGCTGCAGAGCGTGTGTGCATTGCATGTTGGTTTCGTCATATTCTTGAGTGACGATCGGAATTTAGTCGGTCTTAGATTTACCGTGACTTCCAGTTCCTAATTGCCTGAACTCGGAAGTTTTATCAGTACGGCTAACAAAACACCGTAAGCAGCAGCAGATCAAGTGCGCAAGTGGACACCAAGCCAAGCCCTCTTGGAAGCAGCTACCGCAGGTGTGCTTTCGTTACTTTAGTCTTCTTGTTGGTGCTGCTACTACTACGACACGGCAGATGCCGAGGTGATCTGGCTCTCCGGCCTCACCTGCACCGACGAGTCCTTCGCCCAGCGCGGGGCCGGCCTCGCCATGGCGCAGCGACTGAAGCCCGGGCCTCGGCAGCCCGGGAGGATTGCAGAGGGCTTCGGAGTGCGAATTTCTGAGTTCAAAGTCTGCTAGACATAGATATCGTCATACTACCATGGTTGTAGGTGCTAGGTTCGTTAGCCTGACAAGTCGGATCAACATAAGGACGGGGAGGAGGAGGGCGACAGCATGCAGCCAGGGTAGAAAAACAGTCGTCGTCGAAGCAGCAGCAACAGTAGAAGTCGTCGTCGTAGTAGTCGTAGCAGTAGTAGTAGTAGTAGTAGTAGTAGTAGTAGTAGCAGCAACAGTAGCAGTAGAAGAGTGCTAGCAGCAGCAGCCGCAGCAGCAGGAGTAGTAGTAGCAGTAGTAGTTGTTGTTGTTGTTGTTGTCGTCGTCGTGTAGTCGTCGTCGTCCAGCAGCAGCAACAGCAGTCGCAGCACTCGCAGTAGTAGGCACGTAGACGTCGTTTCGCAGCAGCAGCAGCAGCAGCAGCAGCAGCAGCAGTAGCACTGGCCGTGGCAGTCGCCGTCCCGAGCTCAACATCCCCAATGTGGGGTTTGGGGTTTTACGGCCGTCGCTTTCACGTTCATGTTTATGGAGTTTATCGTTCATGTTCTTCTATTGCCTTGAATGTCAACGCTGGTGCCGCTGCTGGCCTCTGGGTGCACCCAAGCCCCATCCTGACCGTTTCGTCAAGATTCCAGCCAACATAGCTTTCATCGGTATATAGCGGGGAGTGCCTCCTATTTTGTCTTCCGCCCTGAGATTTCCCAGGCTGATCCTTATCATGCCGGACACCTCGCCACGCGGCGAGGGCGTGCCGGACGAGGATACCTTCGACGTAGGCGTGGGGGCCAGCATCCCGGCTCAGAGATCCAGCACGATCTAGCTACGTCGCAAGGGTTCATCCAGGGTTTGGGTTGAGGGGATTCTGGCTCTGGGCTTGGGGAGTCTTCGGAGTTGCTGTAGTAAAGGGCTCCAAGTCGTGAGTGTTCCTGAGTGTTCATGTGAAGGTTCGTAGCACTGGAGCTTTGCTGCTTGTGGCAACAAAGGCTATTATGTCAATGCCACGACAGATAAGTACAAGCAACCTGGCTCTATTTAGTAATTCTGTACAATCGAATCTAGCCAACATGAAGAGTGAAGGGGTAGACAAATCCGCCTGCGACGATGACGACTGCAATTGCTGCTACTAGTGACTTTCATTGTCACCGAAATTAGACTGGGTTGTGCTGCGTCATTTTGACGCATGACTAGCAGCTTCAGAACGAAGCCTGTTGCGCATGGCTTCGGCTAGTCTAGCCTGTAGTTTCGTTTCGCATAGTGCCCAGGAAACACTACAAGATGCTGGACTACCTCACACAGGACTGTCGACGTACCAGGAAGAGAATATGAACCAGTGTCAGGGCTTTGCCGTGATTGGCCTTGTTTTGCTTTGATTGTCGGTGGTTCTCTTGCAGACTGTTTCTCTTGCAGACTGTCAGGGTAAACTTTGATAGCCAGCCTGCCGTGCAGTGACCGCTTCAGCACCTATTGAATCTGATGCCATGGCTTGCGGCGTGTACAACTGTCTGCTATCGTCGTCGCTGTGGTAGTCCATTAGTGCTCTTATGTTTCGTTGCATGAGTTGGCTGCGCGGCCATGTCTCTACCACAAATCCTCCAGACGACGCTCCTACCGCTTTGCTGCTTGCACTCCGACTGTTGCTTCTGCCGAGGGCTTGCCGTGCTACTCCTGTGGTCGTCGTGATTGTCCTGGATCGTGGCGGTGGTGGTGGTGGTTGTACTGCAGCAGCTGCTGGTTCTAGCAGTGAGATAGTGATGCTGATGGTGACGACCATGAAGATGTGGCGGCGGCGGTGGTGCTGGTGCTGGTGCTGCTTCTGCTGCTGTTGCCGCGTGCGGTGCCTCTGCGGGTGGTTGCCCTGAAACTTCTGTATCTTTGTATTGTAGGCATTGTCACGTTTACGGACATTATAAGTTTGTAACGCGAACGTCCACCCTGAAATTGCTGTATCTTTGTATTGAAGGCGTCGTGAACCACAAGGACGCTACACTTATGAGATTCTTGCGTGGACACACTGGCATAGCCTAGATGAATTAGTTCATCATAACAATATCATTCTGGTCATCCTCACATCATGGTCAAAATCATCATCGTTTTTATCATTGTTGAAACCATCATCCTAGAATCATCCTCTTCCGTAGTCTGCCGCCGTAGTCATCATTAACGAACCATCCCCACCAGTAAGTAGAAGCATGATATCACCAGGAGTATAGTCAAGTCTCCATTTGCAGGACGTTTAGGATTGAGGCGGCGGTTTTCCATGTGGGTAATCTGGCGACAGTCTGGCGATGCTGTCGTGGGGATGATTCAAACAAACTAGGCTTGGGGGGGATGGATGCGAGGATGATTCTGGGATGTCCCTCCCCCCGTCCGCTCATCGCATCATCACCGAATCATCCTCAAATCTTCCCCGTTCCAATCTGACATCCCAGAATCATCCTCGCATCCTTGCCCCTTCCAATCTGAGGCCCAGACGGGGAGG